GAACTAAAATGGCCTTTTATAAGTGACTGTTTTTACCCCTTCCCCCGCCGTTGACGAGTTATCTCGTCTTTTACAAGAAAACGCTTCCCCGCCAAAGACGAGTTTTTACGGCTTTTCGTGTTTTCACTGTTATACACTCGGGGGTGCTATTACACATCTTCTGAATGAGTACAAAACCTCCCGAACAAAAAACACACGTGAACAGGACGAAACAACGAGCGATATCTTATACAAACAGATGTATATGATAAATAATGCGATCATCAGCAATAGACAGCATATAAATGAAAGCTGCATAACGTTACGGAGTAAAATTATGATCCGGGAAGGGGTATATGTCTGTGCAAGATTTGGAGGTGTTGATGAAAGCGATTTCCTGGATTTATGCTTTGATAATCGTACTGAATATTATCCAGATGTCGTTTTTGATTTAAAAAAAAGTGATTTTCTCCCATTTTTTGCTCAAAATTATGCATTTTTATGAAACCTACCTAGATTCAAGTGTTGATTTAAAAAAGGAATGCTTTTAGTTAAATTTTTTTTAGTTAAAAGTAGAGGCTCTGATCTTTATTTTAGTGTATTGCATATTCAAATATTCATACAGCAAAATATACTGGAGGCCATCAAATTTGAGTGAAAATCATCAAAATCGCTGGCAGTGTTGCCAGACGTACGATAATTATCATATTTGTACGATAATTTTGACCTCTGTACGATCAATAATGAAAAAAAAATCCCATAATGTACGATAATTTCATAATTTTATGACAATTCAAATGATGGTAGTTGTAGTCATAGGTCTTCTATATTCATACACGAAATCGGCTCATTACAGACACTCTAAATGAGCTCATGCACACCTCAGAGTGTGTTAAGAATGCAGGAGGGTGCCCTGCTTTAAAGCCAACGAGCACTGTTGCAGTCCATGATGGCAAGAACCCCCTCAACATCTGGCAACACACAGGCTTCCGATGGCAGCGGCTCAGATGTGGAGTTAACCGCTAAAGTCTGTCTACACTGGACGCGACAAAGCTAAAATCATTTTAATACGTCATAAATAGAACGAAGCATCAGTTTACTGTTGGGGATGTGTCTTGTCGTGTCGCATCCAGTGCAAACAGTCACTGATTATAATGGTTTCTATAGTATTTTGTCGCACTGCTGGCGTCCAATGTAAACACGGTACACCTAGTTATCTATTGTGGTAATTTGCAAGTCGTGTCAAAATGTTGTTGGTTTAGATAAATAGCTGTATTCTGTACGTTTGACTCATGTACGATAATTTTCTTCCAAATACGATAATTTTGAGCTTCTGGTACGATACTTGGACATTTCCAATCTGGCAACACTGGTAACTTTTTTTCAAAAATGCTGGTGGGGAAAGAGTTAATCATGCTAAATGGGCCGAAACACCTAACAGTCAAACACACATCATTTAGATCTACTCATTTGGCTGTTGCTTTTATCCAAAGCAGCTTGCAGCACATTCAAGGTGTACGTTTTAGAAGTCCGTGCATTCCCTGGGAATCAAACCTAAAATCTTGACACCTCTAGCACCATGCTGTAATATCCAAGTTAAAGGAACACACTGCAAAAGTAGTGTTCCTCATAAAAACACGTAAGACCAAAGATCTGTTAATTTTGATAGTTTGATGTTAGCATCTTGATGAAAAATAATGCAATATTCTGATAAACAAAATTAACTTTTGTGGTTTGTAGTTCGTATCCTTTTGGTTTCAGGCCATATTTGTCTTAAAAGCTGACAAAATTAACTTTTAGCAATGTATGCTTTTCCACTTTAGACTTTCTCTTCTGGGGAAACAAACCAATATTATCATATACACGACTACAAATATATTGTGCAATAAAATGCTCCTCTAGAATCTCTGTTTTGTCCTGCTAAATAATATATGTTTGAAATATGCTGTCTATGTAGGCAGCTGATTGTATTTTGGAATAAAACTTATCCATCTCTAAAATAAAGACGATTACTATATTGCACCTCATTGGCATGTATTATTACCATTGGATGATTGTTGGAAAATCTGCCATGAGTCTGATCCTAAATAAATGAATAATGATGCATTCAAAAATGCTTAAAGCTAAACTTAAAAGTGCATTAATAGTGTCAGAAGCTCCTAGATAAGTGCTCTGCTTCTGAAACGCTGTGTAATGTTAGTCTCTGGCTGTGTTCTCCAGGTGAGCTGAGGCATCAGTCTGGAGGAGGACTGGTTCATGCGGTCGTGGCGAGCGAAGGTGCAAGTGCAACATCAGCCGAGGCCACTGCATTCAGTATACTGCAGCATGTGCTTGGAGCAGGACCTCATGTCAAGAGAGGCTCCAACACTACAAGCAAACTGAGTCAGGCCATCTCAAAGGTCACCGCTCAGCCCTTTGATGTGAGTATCACCTTATGTGGCCTTCATCTTTAAAAAGACTTTATACGAAGGTCTCTTTGTAACTGTCTGTCTTGCTTTGTTGCAGGCGTCTGCCTTCAATGCCAACTACACTGATTCTGGTCTGTTTGGAGTTTACACCATCTGCCAGGCTAACGCTGCCAAAGATGTACGTGTGATTTATGTCACGCCTTAGTTTCAACTTGAATTTATTCTGTGCATGGTGTTAGCAAGGCCAAAGTTGTACGTTGGTTCCCAGGAAACATCTCCTTTAGTCATAAATCAAAAGTCGTAAGGCACAATTAAGCAATAGTTCAGTAAACAAAGAATGAATATAGCATTATAATATGCCACAATAATACCATTTACTGTTATTGTTCCTAATAAAGTAAAAACAGAATTAACTGTTGAGTGTCTATGAGCATTCATGAATGCATGATTCTGGACATATCCAGTCATTTGTTTCATACCTGGATGAATTCATGTTTTTGAATGAATCGGATTACCAAATGGTGTCTGTCTGTGTAAAATAGCCAGTGATTTTGATATGCATGCAACATTTCGTTGTTAAGTCTTGTCAGTTCACAAATAAAACTTGCGGTGTTGCCCATGAGAGCTAAAGATTAAGTATGTGTTCTTAAAGTGTTCATTTTTGTGTTCAGGTAATCAAAGCAGCAATCGTTCAAGTGAATGACATTGCACAAGGAAACCTTGCAGCAGCTGACCTCAGCAGAGCTAAGTGAGTTTATATACTTGAGACCAAGAGTGCAGTACCTTTTTATATTTGATTCATTACGTGTTTTCATGTAATTATTAATGATTTGTCTTTTTGTATGAGCAGGAATCAGTTGACGGCTGAGTACCTGATGTCTATTGAGAGTTCTGAGGGCTTAATGGAAGCAATTGGTTCACAAGTGCTGGCAGAGGGTGCCTACCATTCCCCCGAGGCTGTGACCCAGAAAATCAGTGCTGTGTCTTCGGCTGATGTTGTCAATGTAAGCAACTATGGTTTCTTAGGGTAATGGTAACCCAGTGTAAAGGCTCAAGGAATGTAACGTATCATATCTTGCATTCAACCCTGGGTATTGACAATCTGTGAACTGAAGAATAACTCCGAGAATCATATTGTACTGTACAAAATGTTTAATATTTTTTGCTCACTACATAATTCCTGTATTACTATTGGTGTACTATAAAGCTATTTAAAAAATTCTATTCTGAGAATAGCAATAAATAGATATCTATAGTAGCGTATCTGTTAGTTTATCTCATTTTAAGGATTTTGGATTGCAATTTTGTATAACAAAGTTGGTCTCATTTGTTTTTCAGGTTGCAAAAAAATTCATGTCTGGCAAAAAGACTATGGCTTCCAGTGGACACTTGGTCAACACACCTTTTGTTGATGAAGTCTGATGGGCACACATCAGTGCTTTCAAACATTTTGTCTTTCAACAGTGTCTAACTCTTCATTTCATTATTATGAAATGAGGACATGTTCAGGATATCTTTATTATTCCTGTCCAAAAAAATAAAAATAATAATAAGTTTGTCATCAACATTTGGTCTTGATATTTGTAATATATAAAGTGGAGTAATCTGAAAAGAAGAACTCAGCACTTGTCCATTTGAAATGTATAGATGTACATTAATAAAGTATCTTGCAACACCAACAAACATTTATGAAACAAGTTGTGATTTGTGATCCTCTTACAGCTTCTTTATAACACCAATGTATCAGGCTGCACTGAAATTAAATTTAAAAAAATAATTCCTTTTTGAAATCTAAATATATAAACTAATGGTAACAGACTAGTGGATTTTTACTGCTTTGTTTTTGCAATAAACAGGCTTCAAACATCCATGAAAACTTGGAAATATATTATACTGAAGTGGCAAAAAGTCATCAGAATGTCAAAGATCATCTTGATCGTGAATGACTGGCAAAAAAAATAGTGTGATCTGGTCAAAAGGCTGAGGAACACTTTCATGAAAAGTTGGTTTAGGTTTGTGTAATATATAATATTTATTATTAAGATCCCGGAGAGAATTGTTCATTCATACAATAAACACGTCACAAATTTTAACTGGTTTAAATTAAGCAAATGCCAGGTAAGAACATACAAACACCCTTGTCCAACAATTTATTTAATAAAAGGTATTGCGTTCTTTATCCTTATTGCGTTCACTACAGTGTTAATATGTATAAAATATAAATTACTTCTACCTAGTTGTAAAATATTTTTGAGAGTTGTTTTCTCTTTATTACATTTTGTGTCTGTTCAAATTAAGCATCTGTGCTTAAAGGGATAGTTCACGCAAAAATGACAATTCTATCATTAATTACTCACCCTCATGTCGTTTCAAACCCGTAAGACCTCCGTTCATCAGCGGAACACAAATTAAGATATTTTTGATGGAATCTATGAGCTGTCTGACCCTCCATAGACAGCAACGCAACTGAAATGTTCCCAAGTCCAGAAAGTAGCACGGAGATCTGTAAAATAATCCATGTGACATCAGTGGTTCATCCGCAATTATACGAAGCTACGAGAATACTTTTTGTGCGCAAAAAAAAAACAAAAAACGACTTTATTCAACAATTCGTCTCCTCTGCATCACCCTGGTGCCATTTTGGAGAATATCCACTGGATGTAAACAGCATATGCTATTCTGTGTCAGCTGCGTCACGCGGATACCTTGTTTTCATTCTTACGTTCATTTGAAACGTCATGAGGGTGAGTAATTAATGACAGAATTTTCATTTTTGGGTGAACTGTTGTTTTCTCTTTATTACATTTTGTGTCTGTTCAAATTAAGCATCTGTGCTTAAAGGGATAGTTCACGCAAAAATGACAATTCTATCATTAATTACTCACTCTCATGTCGTTTCAAACCCGTAAGACCTTCGTTCATCTTCGGAACACAAATTAAGATATTTTTGATGGAATCTGAGAGCTGCCTGACCCTCCATAGACAGCAACGCAACTGAAATGTTCCCAAGTCCAGAAAATAGCACGGAGATCTGTAAAATAATCCATGTGACATCAGTGGTTCATCCGCAATTATACGAAGCTACGAGAATACTTTTTGTGCGCAAAACAAAAAACAAAAAACGACTTTATTCAACAATTCGTCTCCTCTGCATCACCCTGGTGCCATTTTGGAGAATATCCACTGGATGTAAACAGCATATGCTATTCTGTGTCAGCTGCGTCACGCGGATACCTTGTTTTCATTCTTACGTTCATTTGAAACGTCATGAGGGTGAGTAATTAATGACAGAATTTTCATTTTTGGGTGAACTATCCCTTTAAGCCAGAGCCGTTGAGAGAAAGAGAGAGAGAGTTGCGACATGCTTTGATCTCGCCGCCACTCAGTCACGTGGTTCACGGAGCTCTCAATAGTTCCAAAGAGTGATAGTTCCAAACAAATCCGCGCTGTTTGAATGGGTTTAATCAGGGCAGTTTCACTATATTTGCAGCAATTTCTGGTAATTATTAACACATAATGTGCATTGATTGTGCATTGATAACTACGCTGACTACGCTTTACAATAGCATTTTATTCTGGGGAGCGATTAAGGCAGTGGTTCCCAAACTTATTCGGCTGGGCCCCCCTTTTGTAGAGAAAAATATTTTCAGGCCCCCTCTCTCTTTTTTTATTTTTAGTAAGTCTCTCTATGCTCTCCAAGGCAGCATTTATGTATTAAAAATACTGTAAACACTAATGTTGTGAAATGTGTCCATTTAAAATATCTATTTGAATGTTTTAACATATACTATATTCCTGTGATCAAAGCTGAATTTTCAGCATCAGTACCCCAGTCTTCAGTGTCACGTGATCTTTCAGAATGCTGATTTGCTGCTCAGTAACATTTGAAACTCTGCTGAAAACAGGTGTGCTGCTTCATATTTTTGAGGAAACTATTTTTTCACGATTCTCTTATGAATATACATGCACCCTCTCAGACATGATCTTGATTGCAAAATTATATATATATTATTTGAAATATTGTGATTAACATAGTACTACTTAACTAGCCTACTTGCCGTCTTAACTTGTTCGGCTTCATTGCCCACCTTTGTACTGGTGAATCTGAGGGCGAGACATGGCTAGACATAATTTCTTGTCTTTTGTTGACAATAAAATTGACAGTAAATCCTAAAAGTATGTTTGCACAGCGCAGTCTCCGCCTCACCAGCAGGTGGCAGTACGGCGCTCAGCCGCTCAAACGGAGGCGGTGACGTAATCCGAGATATCCGTTGAACAGCGTTCGCGGAATTTTTTAAAAACCCAACCGAAGTATCGACGGAAGAATATACTAGTATAGCGCAGTACTTGTATATCCCACTGTAGTGTACTTAACAACCTAATACATTTAGTATGCTGATATACATTTCTGGAGTGTAGTTTTTATAAGCCGAGAACCGTCCATCAGCTGAAGTTTATATCGGAGGTAACGCTATTGTTCGGTGCAAAATTCTAATTTATTTCGTTTCTAACATAAGTACTTCATTCGTTATTCAATGAACACAATTGAATGTATTTTGTAACATTTGTTATTTGTTTATGTCTCGAGTGTTTTAGATGGTTGTTGGCGTTTATCTCTCTCTCTCTCTCTCTCTCTCTCTCTCT